CCAGGGGGGTGGAGGGTGGGAAGGGATAGACTAGGATTTTAAAATTGTAGAATAGATAAACAAGATTACACTGTATAGCACAGGGAAATATACACAAAATGTTATGATAACTCACAGAGAAAAAAATATGACAATGAGTGTGTATATGTCCATGAACAACTGAAAAATTGTGCTAAACACTGAAATTTGACACAACATTGTAAAATGATTATAAATCAATAAAAATGTTAAAAAAATACAGAAGAATGATGAATTCAGTGAGAACTTGAAAATATAAAGAATCAATCAGAGATAATAAATTCAGTAACTGAAATGAAAAATGCACTAGAGGAAATAAACAGCAGATTAGAAGATTCAGAATAGCAGATCAACAAACTGGATGACAGGGTATTGGAAATGACTTAGTCAAAACAACAACAACAAAAAAAAATAATGAGGATAGTTTAAAGGAGGTCTGGAACAACATCAAACAAAGTAAAAATCCATATTACACAGGTCCCACAAAGAGAAGACAGGAAGAAAGCTCTAGAAAATCTATTTGAAGAAATAATAGCTGAAAACTTTCTAAACTTTGGGAAGAAAACAGACATTCAAGTCCAAGAGGCAAATAAAGTCCCAAACAAGATGAACCCAAAGAGAACCACACCAAAATACATTAAAATTAAAATGTCAAAATTTAAATAAAGAGAGAATCATCATAGCAGCAAAAGAAAAATAACTGGTTTCCTATAAGGATCCCCCATAACACCATCTGCTGTCTTTTAGCATAAACTTTACAGGTCAGAAGTGACAAGCACGATACATTCAAAGTACAGAAAGGAAAAACGTTACAACCAAAAATATTTTATCTGGCAAGAGTATCACTCAGAATTGAAGGACAGAATAGTGTTTCCAAGCAAAAGCTAAAGAAATTCATTACCACTGAACTGGCCTTACAAGAGATGTTAAAAGGACTTTTTTTTTAGACAGAAAAGGCTATAAGTAGAAACAAGAAATTTATGAAGGAAAGACTGTCACTAGTCAAGGCAAACATCTAGTAAAGGCAGTAGATCAACCACCTACATAGCTAGTATGAAGGTTAAGAACCAAAGTCGTAGAACCATCTGTATCTAGTAATTATTTAAGTGATACAAAAATAAGAATTTGTAACATCAAAAACATAAAATGTAATATGCAGTAAAATGTAGTGCTTTTTAGAATGTGCTCAAACTTCAGCCACCATCAACTTAAAATAGACTGCTATATACTGCCTGGCAACACCTAGCCCTCCCTCCATTTCCCCCTGGGATTTGCCATTCAAAAAATCAGTGCCGCGCTGCCATTCTCCTTACTGCTACTGCTGTAACAAACTGTCTTTTCTCCGACCCTAGAACTTCAGGTCTTTTGCCAGTGTTTATGGTACTGGCGTGCATGTTCGCATACAAGTTGGGTATGATCTTCAGATCTTGTCAAGTTCCTGACTTAATAGATATGAAGTAAGGCGACTGCATCACCAGAGCTTAACTTCAACAAATGTAAGCCAATTCTGAATTCAAAGAAAGTGACTTTTAAAATTTTCTTAACGTACATACATAAGGTGTAGGATGAGGACAGAAGGGATACTGTGATTTAGCTTTTTAAGTATTAAATTGATAAAAATTCTTGAGTATAGGGTATGGAATCTTTAAAGACAGAAACATTCATGTTTTTAATCACTAGCAAGTACTTGACAAGTCAGTTTTTTAAAACTTACCACGGTTTTATTTAAAGGTCTTGCTAAAGGGAAAAAGAGGCATGTATTCTTAAAATCAACTATGTGAAAGTTTTCTTAAAACAGCAAAGAAAATTCATCCCAAAATACTGCTACCTGGAAATAATTACCCTGAACAATGGATAAGTATAATTTTAACAATTCTCTACTAATAATATATGCAATAATCTACTAGGACAAAAGGATGAAAGAACAAAAGTATTAATACATTAAAATGGGTTCATGTGTTCATTTTTAAATTATTTAATGTTAGCAATAAA